ACGGACCTGGGGTGAGTCTACAGGCATCTACTGATCCAGTCAGCCAGAGAAAGGGTTAGATCTCTGACCTTGCAGTCGAGGTAGGGTGGACAGAGGAGTGTGGAAGAAGCTAAAATCACCCACATGCGTGATTTATTCTTCCTACAATTTTTGCACTTTTGCTCTTTGCTTGTGACCTTTGTCCCCTAACATCTTGGATTACAGTCTTTAGAATCTTCTAGCAGGTGACTCAAAACTCATTACCAGCCAGCCATTCTACCACAGAGGGCTGGCCTTTATAGAATGTGAGGCCTTACCTGCCCCACAGAGACTTGTGAAAGTCACTAGAGCGAACTTTTTAGCTCCCTTTATCTTCCTTTTTCCTTGGGAGTAAAGATGGGCTTCTTACTGTTCTTACAGTCAGAATCATTCTTTAAGGAAAAAATTGTCCTCAGAAACACACTGGAGAACAGATGTAGTTGTGTAAGCTACCTGTTGTTTTAGGAGCGTCTAAGTGACAACTTAGAACATGAATACTGCATGAGGGACTCGGTCCCCTTCGCTCAGATTGCCTTTCATGTCCTCCTCACGTCTCTGTTGATAAATGGCCACATGTCCCCATCCCCGTTTGACAATTGAGGCAATGAGAGGTTATGTGCCTGGCCGTTGGCAGCAACTGAAATAAGAGTAAGACTCGAGAGTACTGACCAAATGTGAGGTTCATTTTCCCTCTTCCTTAAGGCCAAATTGCTACCTCAACAACTACCTTTGGCCTTCAATCTTTTGGCTATAAAAAAAAAAAAAGCAGGGTCATTCCATATCTATAAAAGGTGGGTGCTTTTAGAGCTGAGATTTTATTATCTTAGAAATCAGAGCCCTCAATGCTTAAGGCATTCAAATGCTTTAGACACCTACCCCAAAATTAGGCAGCAGTTCTCTGTCAGGGTGGACTGGCTATGGGTGAGCTCCGCCCCGAGAAGCAGTGGGAAAATCTGAGTCATTCCTGACCTCCTATGTGACTCCAGCAGACAAATCTGCAGCAGAAAGCATTTCCAGATCCAAGTGGGCTCACTGGTGGATGGTTTCTGCAAGGCCTTTCTGGCGTTGCTTTCATTTCACTATCCATGCCTTTTTTCCCTATTGCCTCTTACAAATTTTCAATTGATCAGAATTATCATCACCATCAGAAATGCAAATATTTTTCCTATTATAACGTAATATTATTATTATTATTATTATTATTATTATTATTATTATTATTATTAGAAACTGGGTTTCACTATGTAGCCCAGGCTGTCCTAGAACTCACTCAGTAAACCAGGCTGGCCTCCAACTCAGAGATCTGCCTGCCTCGGCCTCCCAAGTTCTGGGGGGTAAAGGCAGGAACCACCACACAATACAAGAAGTGGAAATTATTTAGAAAGTCCTAGAAACACTTATTTGCAAGGGGTGGGGAGCAGTCCACAGCGGCGCTTGGATGCTCCGGATTTAGTGTTTCGTACCTTGATAGACACGAAGGGTGGCTGAAGCAATACAGAGAGCGCTTGCCCCAGCAGCCTGCCTGACAGGGAGACATCACTTCCCTTCAGAACACTCTCCTCATGCCTTTCAGTTTCTGAATCTATGCCAGTAGGCACTCATTCTGAGCACCCCCTTCCCCCCCCCCCCCCCAAAAAAAAAAAAAAAAAAAAACAGCCATAATTTTTACCTCTGTTTCCTGGTCATCACATTTCAAAAGGCTTCTCATTGGATCTCTAGTTCTCACCCAGGGCCTGGCATGCTGTATGTGCTGATTAGTCCATGCACTCATTAGGACAAAGGGCAGGCTCATTCTTTAACGAGAACAAAGCCTTTTCCTTGCTAGTGAGTAAGGTGTGGTTAGAAAGACTCCAGTACACTCATGCCCTCACATCTCCTTCTCTCTCTTTCTAACTGAGAAAGAACACCATTCGAGAAAGGCCGGGAACTGCCAAGGGTAAGAGGGATAGCTCCGTCCGAACAGGTTTCGCTTAGAGTCCCAGATGTAAGCCGATGCGAGCGTGGCCATGCTGTTTCTAAGACACCTGCTTGCTCTCACCTATAAAGTAATTCAAGCGCCCGAAATTATTAGTTCAGGTGTGGAAATAGCCTGTGAATATACATTCACACATGTGAGCTAAGATTATACTTAGAGTGCTTCCTGATGTGGTATTTGATTCTAAAAATGGAGCCGTCTGCTGGGTAGCTTCTACATCTAACAGTGCCTTCATGTTGGGTTATTTTTACAGTCAACTACATGAAAAGGTGTAATGGGGTGAGGGAGAGAAATTGACTTCAAGTTTCTAGAAGCAATTGTGTTTCTATCATTTCTGTTCCAGGATTTGGTGTAAACAAAGCAAATTAATATTTTTGGAAGGTGTGTGGTATTTGAGGAGGGAAAACCCTTGACAGAATGAATTTGTTTTTAATTATTTTTTTAAAGCTTGATGTGTGGGTGCCTCGAGTGCACATGCTGTTACACAAAAGATTAGCATATCAGAAAGAGGAAAAAACCTGTTTTCGTGCTGTAAAAATGTCTGAGGCTTAATCTGCATATTTAATGAGAGTGAATCTTCATATTTAAATGTCTATGGGGATAAATCTTCATATCTGAAATCATGTTTTGGCATTAAAGTGTTAAATGTTATCTCAGTTCCATGAAAGAAGCCAAACGTGGTTTAACTGCTAGGATAATTTTGTTCAGTAGAAACATTTAGGTTTGATAAAATTTAGTTTTTATATAGTAGATGTGTGGTTTTGTATAGTATACATAGTCACCAATTTGTTCTCAACCTCTGTATGGCCACTATTTGAACCTGATGTTCCACGATCTCAACAAAGGTCATTACTTCACTGTCTTGCTAGTATTACTACAGGAAACAATGTGAAAGCCTTGACCTATTTTCTTGTTCTGGTGTATATGTGCTACACAGTGCTATCAATAAGGTGTTACCTGGGCCAACATATGTTAACTTATTTTTGCTGCATGAAAAAATAGTGTATTCTTAAGCTTGTGGGATATCTTCATCTGTTTGTGAGTAATATGCTGTTGGATTGACTAAGGTCTTTTTTCAAAGGTCTGCGGTGCTTTAGCTATGTAACTCTCTTAGCATTATTATGAGAGAAAAAGTTAGTGTTCTCTTGATTGAATTTCTCTCTCTCCTCCGGCTTTTGTTACATGGTTCTTTTCTGGAAGCATTTGGTAAGGCACTGGGACAAGGAAAGGAAAAAATAGACCTATTCTTTCACATAAATGATACCAACCCTCTTCCCTGCTTATGCTTTCTGTTAGCTATTTTAAATTTATTTTTTTGGGGGGGTCTCATTTCCCCCAGGGCAGTATTATCTAAAATTGAAGACAAAAATGAAGAATAGTGAAATGTAAGAGAAGAACCCACCATAAGGAAAATGGTCTGAGCCAAGGGATAACGATGTCATTCAGTATTATTATGAATTTGTGTCATTGCTACAAGAGAAATTTAGATTCATTTCAATAACTAGGGAAGTATTTCTATTTCACTATCCCAAAATGTATTCATATGTTTGAGTGAAAACTCTCACTGGAGTGGCATTTCCGATAATAAACTGGAGCACTTTCCCACCTGAGCATCATTTCCAGAATTATTATATTCTTCAAACATTTGACCTTAGCACTAGAAGTCACTTAAGGACATACTTTACAGAATGTCACTGCCACTCTCTAGTAAGTTTTCTTGGACAGATAGTATCTGGCACTATGATTCCCCATAATAAAAACCTAAAGGTTCTAATCGTCTGGCTGGATATAGTAGGTAATCTTCTAGACATAGACATGATTTAAATGCTGAGATTTCTGTTCATCCTCTTTTTCTTTTTCTTACTTTTAATAATGTGTATTGAGTCAGTTGATTGTTTTTAATGTGTATGGGCTCTATGGATATCCTGTGTAGTCCTAGCATGTAGATTATTCCATTTTATAGGGTGAAACTCCATGAAAATGTAGTATCTAAATCAATTTCATCATGTATGAACTCCTGAATTTTGCCTAGTCCCACTTTTCATCTTCAAATAATTTTTTTTTTCTATTTACAACACTTTTCTGTTATCTTTAAACAACTCATTTCTGGTTGCTATATAGTAACATTATAATCTCTTAGTGCTGCTCAGAAAAATTCTTACGTATTATTTCTACGCAAGGGTATGTTAATTCATCTTCATTGAATGGTATCCAGCAGATGACAATATTTGGGAAATTTCATAGATCTCCCCCTTTGGCAAATCAATACATCAACTCAATGCTGAAATCACATACATTGACAAAGGTACTTGCTAGTTATATAGCTTTGGTAGGATTTTTCCCCCTATGCCTCAATCCTCCCCAACCCCACTTCTTTTATATAATGGAAATATTTTATTCACCTCCAGCAGATAAATCTACCCCACCTAGGACTACTGGGAGGAATGGGTTAACATATGTAAAGTATGTCGAGCAGAATCCCCGGTCAGCGCTGGTTGGTGCTTGGTTAGTCACAGTCATCACCACACAGGCCCTGCTGGAAATGCTCAAGCGTGACCTCAAAGGAGGAAAAGCTCTGTGCATATGGAAGCTACTCTTTCTCCAATGTATATTGACTCATTAATGGCTCTTTAGAAAACAGATCGATAGCTTCGAATAGAAAGAAAATGCCACCGTCACTCTGAAATCGTGGTTAATAATGCAGCTTTTATTTCCTGAGTTCACCATAGGATCTAAGAACAAAGAACGCTTCGTACCAGGAATGCTTTAGTGTGGCCTCTGGGATTGTTTGGTTAACGCACATTTTAAAGGTGTTATGCATTCCATGAGTGATGTCCCTCCTAAGAGTGGAAATGTAGGTTAAACACCACACTCCAGGTCCCCCTTGGTTCACACAGTACTTTGTTTCCTGTGCATTTTGGGGTGAGGAGTGACCGTCCCAACATCAAGGCATGTGAGATGCAAGAGGTTGTCTTGCTTATCATTTCTCCATTGGTTTGCTTTGCAGCTTGCCGTTCCCCACAATGACGAATGGACACGATTTGCCCGGACCCTGGTGGAGATTCGCGCCAACAGGGCTGACAGCGAAGAGGAAGGGGCTGTTGAGTTAGCGGCCTAGATGTGTGGTGGCGAGCCTGCCGCGGTGCCCCCACCCCCCATCCTTCCGTGCTAGAACGCAGAGTCTGCAGTCCAGGCCTCCATGCTATGTTTGGCGTCCTCTCAGTAGGAGTGTCTCTGTGGCGTTTTGGGTGCCATACTGTGCAGTGTTACCCCGTGTATTCCACGTGTACCGATCCACCCGAAACCCACCAACAGCATCTCTACCTTTGTGTCTCTGTCTCAAAAACAAAAGGGGGAGGGAAGCCTGGGGGGGGGGGGGTTAGTTGTTGCCTTTTAACTACTTGGTAGCTGTGTTTAATAGCTGGAAACCTCTGGTTGAATTTGTGCTTACATGTACTTCTGGCATAGTCCTATTAAATCCATATGAAGCCAGATATGATTGGGTGCAGATGTGGTGTGCCTCATGATATGGTCCAGGGCCAAAGACTCGAGATGTGGTGTTTTACATGGTGGCTCACATTATGAATGGATTTACTACAAGAACGTTGCTGCTCCTTATTTATTGTAACGTGCTGCATGGAACATATTTATTTGAAAGCATTAAAATAAACGATCTTAGAGCATGTGCGTAATCAGAGGACTGTATTCTCTCTGCTGCTGCCGAGGTTACATTAAGTTCCAAATAACAATTACAGTATGCCAGTTCCACTGAGAACACGGAGTCTTTCGAGGTTTGTTGCAGTGAGTGGAACGAATTTTAATGCCTATTATTTCTAGGTACTTTAACAATATTTCAAATATAGTTGACCACGGATACTTGTCATTCAAGCTGGCACAGCCCTCCAAAAGTCTGCGGTTCCTAAATATGACACTGGTATTACCAATCAAATGTTCCCAACCAGGTTTGTATCGCCGTGGGTAAATGTTTGCTTCGTAGAAAACCTGACACGCAGTATGCTTTGACAAGGGATTGGTGAGATACGTGCGGACGGACCATGTGAAAGACTGAACATGACTGACATGGGGCCAATCTGGTGCCCTTAAATCAAAGCTCCTACTTTGATTTTTTTATAGGGCTACGTGTGTGGTTTTGTTGTCGTCGTTGTTTCTTTTTAACGGTTATTTGTTTGTTTTTTGGGGATAGATACTCCCTTGCCTCTGTCACCAAAGGCACTGAGTTGAAAAACCATGTTCCATGGTGGAATAAGAAAGCGCAGGTTGAGATAGACAAATGCTGTATGCTCTACAAATGTCTACTTTGAAATTCACACTAGAAATTATGTTAATTACTATCAAACTAGAGAATATACCTATAAGCAGCTTTAATCATTCTCCTCAAGGGTTATCTCATTGCGAGAGAGAGTAAAAATAAATTATAGTTAAATCATTAAAAACAGCTTGTCAATAGGCTCTTGATATTTTAGGAAGAAAAACTTCCACCCACACATTCTTAGTAGGGATCCCTTGAACAAATGTGTGTGTGTCTGTGTCTGTGTGTGTGTGCATTAAATTAAGACATATTTTCCTCCAAGTGCTTTATCGTACCTACATAATTAAATTCCCTTATAAACAGAAATTAACATTTTATAGGTAAAAATGAATGTTTTCATATATGTGCATTTAAACTCAGTGGGTAGAAGTACAAAGAAAAACATTTTAAAATGCCAGAAAATTTTCTATTTTGTTAAAGGAGAAAGTTCTAATATGGCAGTATAGGGATTGCTCTTTAGGTATTATGAAGATATTTCAGTGGGCCTTTTACTTCCACAAAGCTAAGTCAAAATGCTACTATGATGATGTGATGAGGTGTGACCTGAGTTCTATCAGGACTCAGATGGTAGAAGGAGAGAACTGACTTCCACAAGTTGTCTCAAGCATACACGAAACCATAATTCAGAGTAAATCAAAAGTCCATGTTGTGATTGAAGATCAATCTCTGGATGTTTCCATGAAAGAAGCCTGTGAAAAGCAAGAAGTCAGAGTCACTTCTGGGGAACACATTAGATGGTCCAGGTTTAAGTCCTTATTTATCCGGAGACAGCCAGCCTCTGTGTAGTCCTCAGATCTTGACCCTCAGATCCTGTGTCGAGTCTGTATTGACCTCATGCCACTCCCAGAATAAGAAGGCATTACGAGGAGAACATATGAAGAGAATAATAGCCAACGTTGATTTTTTTGCCTCACATCTATGAGAATCTGTTGTAATCTAATGTGCTAGGGTAGACATGGTGGCATGCAATCTTAATCCCAGCCTTCAAGAGGCAGATACATGCAGAGCTCTTTGAGTTTGAGTCCAACCTGGTCTACATAGTAAGTTCTAGGCCAAGTTATACTGTCTCAAAACGACAACAAAAACCTACCAAACAAACTAATAAAACAACAACAAGAACCAAATCAAAACAAAAAACAAATCTAAAACAATAAGAAATCACAACTACGTGCTGCCCTCTCTGATACATGATAGGGGCTCTTTGGCTCAACAATGACTAGACAGCGCAACAGTGACTCTGGTAACTGCCTAGTCCAAGAAGCCAAGTACCTCAGCAGTCCCTGTCTAGCATCGATAGCCGGGGACTCCATAGTCCCCGGTAATGAGTGCCACTGTGAGGGAGTCTCATGTCCATGGCTGATCTCAGCAGTATGCTCATCGCTTTTTCCTCAGACGTCTTTATAGCTAGGCTTCATGTTGGAAGATGCTGCCTACTTTGAGAGGTCTTCCTTCCTCATTAACCCTCCTTGGGAACACCAAGACAGGCACTCGCAGAGATGTATTCTAGGTGATTCTAAATTTCCTTGATTGACCCCAGACTACCACATATGCCACTGGTAATATGAAGCTAGGAGATGGATTCAGAGAAGAGTTGGGGACTTGGTACTTCAGTGAAATTGTGTGGGATCTCCAACCCTCCCAGTGGCTAGAAGCATGCGAATATTTCCTCCAAAGCAAAGGAGAAACTGCTGACATTCGCAACTGTCAACATGCAGAATAAAACTCAGCACCTGGTAGGCTATTTGGGGCTCCAAAGGTCACAACACATTCCATGTCTGTAATTCACATGCTAGGTGGCAGTCGAGGCTTTTGGTGGACACAGAATGGAGGAGGGACTTTGACATGGTCTGAATGGCAGTACAAGGAGTTCTAAGCTTGGGCAATGCAGCCACAGTTGTTCTAATGCAAACATCAATGGTGAGGAGAGAAAGCATGAAACTTTTGGAACAGAATCTCTCATAAGCACCAGGTCCAGTAGAAAAGAATCCCTTTGCCATAGGATATGAACATACCACACACTTAACTGTCCCACTATGTCAGCTCCACTGGACCACAGTTAGACAGACTTAGAAGCCATTTGTAATATAGAAATTGTGACGGGAATCAAAGAGCTTGAGAGTTTGAGTGCCTGCACAAGCAGGTAGCCTTGGATCCTAATGTTGCCAAACAGAATTTTGTCAGTGCCCCTCCCCCAGTCATGTGGGGATGGGGCAGGTTCTATATGACCAGCAGCGAGTTAGGGTTAGGGTTAGGGCTAGGGCTAGGGTTAGGGTGCACATCAGAGCTTGGTGCAAATATGGGCTAACTCAATTCATGGCAGAAAGTAAGACACAGATGACAGCGACCTATTAGAGCCATCTTTTGCATCTTGAAAGACAGTACAGAGGGGAAAAAACTTTCCATAGATCAGAGATTTGAGCGGTACAACCTATCATCCATAAACATGAATGTTGGGCGGGGGCAATTTCACATTCAAACCACTTTGAGCCAGTGGAGAAAGGGCCAGAGATCAATTCACATGCCTACCAACAGCCTACCCAGCTGTCATCATTTTTGCAGTAACCACCAGCTGTCACCTTTCACCCCTTCTGTCTCTTTGCAGAATGGTGTTGCCCACACACTGATGTCATCAGAACACACAGTGGGAAGATCCAAATCCTTATAATGGTCTATATCCCTAGATGATTTCACTTTGACCTTCTACTTCTCTCCTTGCCGCGATGAAACACGTGGCCAAAGCAACCTGAGGAAGGGCTCGTTTTGGCTCATGGTTTAAGAGACACAATCCATGATGGGGAAGGCATGGCAGCAGAAGTGTGAGGTGACTGGTCACATGGTCTGAAGTCAGGAAGTAAAGAGTGGACAGAAAGTGAAGCAGGCTATACAAACTCATGGCCATCTTCACAACCCAACTCCTCCAGAGCCTCTCCCCCCCTCACTAAAGATTCCACAGCCTTCTAAAACAGCGTCGCCAGATGGGGACCAAGCCTTCAACCACGTGAACATCTGTGGGACATCTCCCAATCAAACGTCTTCCTCTGTGGTCTTTCCCCTGTGTACCCTAATCTTTACTAGCCTACCCAAGCTACAGGGGTCTCCTCACTCTTACACACAAACAACCACGGAGCCTCTGCAGTAGCCGTTGAGAGCACTGACTTTATAAATCCTCATGCACACATTCTGACGTTCCACCCTTTAATTAAGGTCATTCTTCTGACTGACTGATTTTTCAATTAACTTTTTAATCTGTGAGAGCAGCAAGTCCCTCAAGGCCTAAGGTCAATGTCAATATGAAAAGCTATAGCATGGAAGAGCAATAACAGAAACATAATAAAATGCACCTGCTACTCCTCCTCACAGACAAAATTAAAATGAGAAAATGATATTTTTTATATTTTAGTGCATAAAATGCACGAATACTAAGTATTTGATCATTAATGTTTTTGTTATTAATTGAAGGTTACTAAAATGTTTCTTTTTATGATGAGTGTTTGCCTGCATACATGTATATATACCATGTGCATGCCTGCTGCCCACAGAGGGCAGAAGAGACCCACACATCTTTAGAACTGGAGTCTCACAGATAGTTATAACTTGGGTTCCAGCAAGTCCTCTGCAAGAACAGCAAGTTCTTGTAACCACAAGTAATCGCTCAGTCTCAGGATTGCTGTGTGTTTCTTTTTTGAAGATAGGGTCTCACTATGTAGTCCTGGCTTCCGAGGTACTCACTATGCAAAATCGGCTAGACTCCAAGTCGGAGAGACCCACCCTCCTCTGCCTCGAAAGGCTGGGATTAAACGTATGTGCCACCATGCCTGCCTTCATTCATCAACTTTTAACAGTTATGTTCACCATGTTAAGAGGCCAAACCATGGTTCTGAATTTGTCTGCCTAATCCTTTTGCTTTTCCATTCCTATTGATATACTTTGAAGGTATTAGTAGATATGCAGGATATATTTTCTTGTTAACCTGGCATGCAGGGATTGAACCCGAACCCAGGGCTTTGTGCATGTCAAGCACTGAGTGGGGCAACCCTTAACCATTCAACTTTTATATTACCTGGGTTAGCGTCTTCTCCTTTCAGCCTGAAGGATTCACTCTAGTGCTTGTTACTTTGTGCAAATGCTAGTCACGTGCTTTGGTGGGATTGCCAGGTTCTCCCTTTATCTCCGAGGAATATTTTGTTTGTTTGTCTTAGCACTTGAAATATCTCAGACAACGTTGGGGAGATGGCTCAGTTGGTAACGTGCTTACTGTGTATGGAGCCCATGTGAAGCGGTGCAAGGCCTCCTCCAGTAAGGAGACAGGAGAACCCATCACAGGTCAGCTAAGCTGGCATAGCAAAGGAGAAGAACAGAGCAAGCAAGATTGTCCAGTCACCTGAAACCACAGACACACATGCAGGAGCATGTGCGCACACACACACACACACACACACACAGACACACACACACACACACACTTTGTGGAATAGGGTAAAGGTCTCAGGCCACTGCCTTCTGCTCATCCAGCTTCCTCTATGCTCCTCATCCTCCTCTTCTTCTTTCTGTTTCAAATGTCATTTTATTGCAAGATGGTATAACTAATTACAAGTTTAATCTCTTGACTTGGCGATTTCAATGGGGCAGCAAGTTGCTACAAATTACTTATTCAAAAGTGATCATCAGACAAGTCCAGATACAGAGAAAGCAACAGAAATACCTTACTGGCCAACAGGGTTAAGCCACTAAATGGTCCTCGATCATTTCTTAGGAAAGGTACACTGTACTTTAGAGTAGACAGCGATACAGGAAGAGTTCTTCACACAGACTAGCCCCCGTGTAAGTTAACTCTCAGGCCATCTCAGCTGAGGTAGATACATTCACATAACTGGCTGAGCTTGAGTCTTCTACGCCAGAAGCTTTGACCCTCGATGCACTTGGCAATGGCCCCCTATTCCTGCTGTGCGGTAATGCCCTGCACCACAGGCTTCTCCACCCAGACTACCATGAGCTCTTGCTCCTTGCAACGTATCATGTCCCGTACGGAAATGTGACCAACTTGAGAAGAGTCCAAATATGACATTTTAATGTTAGATGGTTTTTGTTGTTGTTGTTGTTGTTTTTGTTGTTTTGTTGTTTTTTGTTGTTTTCCCACAACAGGAAAATGCTGCAAATTTTTTGTTGTGGTTGGTTAATAACTTGGTCACATTTATGTAAGAATGGATGAGAAAATTTGTGGGTAGTAAGAAACCTGTTGAGAATCCAGTATGACTTTCCTTCCATTTGTGGTGATGGGAATTTCATGACCAAAGCCATCGCAGCCACTCCCACATTCTGGAAACTGTCTCTATTCCCACCAGACACTCTGCAACCAAGTGTCCCTAGGTATTTACTTTTAACTTGGTTTTTCCATTATTTCTAACCCTTGTCAAAAATGGCATTTTCTAATTAGAGATTCTGAAGATGACCCAATTCCTCTTGCTTCATATCACGTTGCACTGTAACAGTTTGTAAACTTACCTCTGCTTTTTCCACATTACCTTCCAAATTTACTCCCGTGGGCAAATGCTTCCAGTTTACCTCAGCTCTCTTTACTGACTTTACTAGGCTGTAAAAGTGTTTAAGAGAAACCTCAAAAGACTGGCTCAGGATTCACTTGGTCGTCAAGCCCTGTAATTCTTTAAGGTAGCAAATGTACTTGGTAAGATAAACAATCTGAGAGCTCACACATCCCCCTTACTCTAAGGTAGGCACGGTGTGGCCAATCATGAGAACTGACCATCAGAAACCCTCGGCATGCTTTCCTAAGACCTTTGTGCACTGAGGTTTATAAAGAAGACTACCTAGAGGAGAGCAGACTGTTAGGAAAACAGATTCAAACCTGAGCTCCCTCACTGTGGACAAGACACTATGGCTGGGCTTGGTCCCCTCAGTTTTAACACAGAGAAAAGGATATTACCTCTTCAAGGACCAGGGGAGGCTTAATAATATCATGTTTGGCATGTGACAACTCCTGATTAATGAGTCCATACAAACTGGAGAACTCTGCCCTCTGAGAGCCACCATGTATAGGAAAACACCGTAAGAGCTGAGGCCAGCAGAGGGACAGGAGATGTGCCTTTCATGCCTTTTACTCTGGACTTGTTTTCCTCCACCTTATATGTTTGTTTTAAGAATCTGGATCAACCTCTCCAATACAAAACAAATCATCCTTGAAGAGTGTCACACAGAAGCAACTGTAGCCACCAGAACCTTGGTGGTTAGGCGGAGTGAAGGGAGGAGTGTCTGTGACCCAGAAGAAGGCCTCAGATGAGCACAACTGCCGTCTCTTCCTAATTTTCCTCCAAGAGTCATTCATGGGGACTGTGGTTTTGCCTTAAGCAAAACCCCTTTAACAGCCCAGCATCTCAAAGCAAACAACATTATTTTATTAGGTACCCCAGGAGATGAAAGCAGTGCTCCATCTGGTCTCTTCTCAGTCAACTAATGCATTAGCTAAAGACAAACCTCTCTGAAAACAAACCCACTGTTGGCAGCAGCTTCCAACAGACTTGAGAAACAGAGAGCAAGCTTCAAATACTTATTTTATTCACTGATAAGAAAAATGATGCGCACCCCATTTCAAGGCAAGGTAACACTCAGCTCAAAGGAGATGATTTTTAAAACAACAGTTTAATTTTCATAATGACCAGGGAGTTTAAATTCATCTTTGAATTTATGTGATACATCCTGACACTCAGCAACAAGTCAGTAACAATTAAAACCTATTTCATAGCTATGCGGATTTAATAAAAGACTGACCCTACGATTTCTAAAGAAGGTGTTTGATACGCAGCACTGTTGGTCTTCCTTTCTGGTTTTAACTCTAGGAGCAGAAAAGACCTGCAAAGGACAGAGTGGGAGCTGGCTTGATGGCACCTGCCTAGGTATTCCCAGTGATTTGGGTCACTGAGAGTGACAGATTAAAAGTTCCAGCCTGCTTGGGCAACTTGGAAAGGCCCTGATTCAAAATAAAAAAGTAGAAAGGGCTAGGGATACAGCTCTGTGATACAACATTTTATCCAAGGCCCTAGGGTTTAATTCTTCAGTATCATAAAAACCACCAAAAAAAAAAAAAAAAGGAGAGAGACAGTAGAGGAAAATACATTTATCAAAAATCCATCAATTCAACTATTTATCCATGCATGCTTCAAAAAGGTAATTTAAAGTGTTAGAGACCCAGCACAGTAAACCCTCTTCCCTTACAGAGCCCTGTTTAGGTTTCAAGGGAGAGGCTGTGTTCAGAAAAACACAGGTGAGGATATTGGTAGGTATCTGAGACCTTAAGAAGAAGCAGGAAATTTTTTGCAAGCACATCTTGTCTTCCTAATACCAAACGCAGAACTCTTCAAAGAAAACTGTGTCCTGTCTACTGCTCCCCCACCCCTCCACCCCCAAGCAAGGTAAAACAAAAGGCATGCAGCCCTTTGTGGAAGACGCTTGTGGAAAGAACATTTTAGAAAGCTCTGGAAAAATCCACATCCTGAAAGCATAAGGTTACCCAGAATTTAAAATGGGATTTTGCTCAGTGGCAAGAGTACAAATTCATCCCCTACAAGTCTGGCTTCTGTGGTCAGAGGCACACAAGAGTTTGGAGAGAAGGTTAATTTGGAAGGCAGATAAAATGGGCCCTAAGACAGACTTCATCAAATGTTATCACCGAAGGAATCCCCACCCGTGCACCTGAAGCCTTCCAGCATGCCATGCATCCTAAATACACAGTCTGAGGAGGTTACAAACAGTTTCAAGCGCAATTTGTTCCCCGTTTTTTATCCCTTGCTCATGAAGTTATGTGCTGCTAAGCATTTCCAGAAGACTGTCAAAACGTAAGCATCCCAAGGTTTACACAGGCCACGCCATTAAATAACATATAAGCATCAAGATTTAAACATTGTTTTCCAGCAAGGCTAAATATTTTAGCTAAGTAAAAACTGAAGCTTGAAATGCAATAAGCATTTAAACGACTCTTTTGTGTGCCAGAATTCTTCCTCTTCCCTGTGCGACCCTGGCTGCTGGGATTAAGGCGACCCCAGGGAGCTCAGCAAATGGGGTTGTGGGTTATGAGGTACAGCAGGGGCTTGGCGACAGCGCGCCACCCAGCTTCAAGAAACCCAGCCACGACGGGAACCCAAGAATCAGTGTGTTCACTTTGTGGTCAGCTTCACATTTTTTCCTCTCCTCGGGTAAAAAAAAAAAAAAAAAAAATTAAAAAGGCTGCTACAAAAATCAGGCCCGTCTCCCCCACCTCCCGAGTAATCGCGAGGTGGGCCAAGAGCAGAGCAGAAAGGCTCTGGGGCTCATACTGGGGAAGGCTGGTTCCCGTGGGCAGGCACGGAAGCACATAGTGACATGTCTACAGTGCCTGAGCCTTAAGGAGGGACACGGTCCAGGGACCGACTGCAGCAATGACAGCAGCCACACCGCTCCAGACATGTTGTGCTGTCACTCTGGGGAGAAGAAAAACCCAGAACAAATTTCACGTGGTTTTCACCACATGGTGATTGCAGTTCAATTCTAGGCCTGTCACAGGCATGCCACCCACTGAGCAGCAGTCATGGAAATTAGGCCTCCTTCAAAGAGTCTCGAGTCACTGACTCCCAAACAGAAACAGTCAAGGATTTCAGAGAAACACGGACAGTGTGGTCCTATCTCCTATCAGCTTCTGGGCCTTTAATTTCTTCCTATTCACTATGTAGTCCCAAGCCAAGATGCTCTCCCATCAAAACCAACAGGTCATAAAGGAATGGGTGGACTATGTGCTTTTTTTATGAGATCTGGGTCAGTGTTTTTGTTTTTTTTTTCCCCATGAAAACCTTATCTTCTATAAACTTTCTAGCAAGTGTCAAAAAGGAATTAGCGACTCAAGAGGCTTCTTCCACACGCCCAAGTCCAAAACTGGAGTGCTCTGTTTTACACCATCCTCAAACTGGCACCTGGACTTGGAGGTTTGATAGGTAGATCTCACATCATGTGAAGGGGATAGTACTACTTGTTGAAACAGACGTGGAAGGAGTCACGTGTGCACATGCTCTATTTCCAGTAAAGATCCACACCTGTAACAGGCGAGCTAATCAAAAACTTATGGATGATGCTGACTCCTTCCAACTTTAGTATAACAACTCAGTAGCTCAATCAGCATGATCTTTGGGAAATGAATGCTGTTGAGGGTAACCGCAAATTCTTTTCAAGATTAACTTCTTTTCCAAAGTCATCACGATGAGGTAAATATTAGCAAGGATTAGACGCAGTGAAATTTGGTTCTGGTCTAACCCAGTAAATTAACGTTACAAATATCATTTCAAACAAGTTCTTATGTTCAACTTCCACTGAAGCGTTATGTTATTTTAATCAACACGAGTACCAATTTACCAAGTTGGGCTGGGGAGATGGCCCCGTCAGCAAAGTGCCGGCTGTGCAGGCGCGAGGACCTGGGTTTCCATCCATCACTCACGTGGAACCGAGGACTGGAGGCACTCATGCAGTACCCAAGAACAACCGGGATATGTTTGTGTATATAGGACAGGTGGATCTCTGGAGCTCACTGGCCAGTTGGTTAGCCAAACTGATGAACTCTAATTCCACGAGAGACCCTCTCTCAGTCATTAAGATGGGGAGTAAGCAAGGAAGAAATCAGTGCTGACCTCTGGCTTCCATGTGTGCCCTCACACCTGAGCACTTCCAGATGAACATAACCATAGGACACGTTTCCCAAACACAAACTGCCTTAAACGTTAGTTGTTAAAAATGATTAGGGTATGAGTATCGGTTAGTAGTTCTTTCCTTACCCAGAGCAGAAAATGTGCTCTGTTACTCATTCTAAACCAGGAAAATGTTCCCTTGAAAGCTAACTTGAATAGGAACACAATACCCCAAACATGGCATGAAGAGTAAGAGTCCATTGGTGACCATCATTTTTGCCATCCAACATGCAAGAGCAAGCAATCAGTAGCTTTAAAAATAGTTTATTTCCCCCTTCACAAACATACAAGCCTCTGACCATGATACAAGGCACCCCAAATTAAATAAAAACTCAGAGTATATTTGTCTGACATGATTCAAGATAGAGTTGATTTTAAAGGCAAATGGATGCCAACCACGGGGATGGGAACAGGCTGGTGCCAGCAAAAAGGGGTGTACATTATTCTTACAGTGTCTATTAAAATTGGCAGTAATCAGCATGTGCTCACCATGTAAGTATTTATCCCAAATCAGTATGCTCAGGAGTAGAATTGTGTCTCAGTTTCTTCTGTCTCTATAATAAAAAGGCCAAAAGCACTTCCTTAACATTCAAAACTTTTTCCTTAGTAAGTTGGTACTAGTAAGAGAGTATGATTACTAAACATCCTCAATGTGGTTTTCATTATGAAAAAACATGTTTCACATAAAACCTTCATAATATAATCCAGAGGCCAAATTTGTGCATGTTTAAAATTTGAGTCGGGCTAGATATTTGTTTTTTGTTTTTTTTTTCTTCCAGTGTTTTTCATTTTTATAAATATCTAGACCCAGCTTTCTCCTGCTTTAAACATTCTCAGAACTCTTTGCTTTTAGGACCCATGGCTGCCTTTCAATGGCCTCAATGAGACCATCATCCAGGTAGGAGGCCTTCCCTAATTTCCCTTCGGACTTACTCCAGATCAAGTTAGTGTTGACCAAATCCCAGTATTTAAAAGACACAAACAAAGGTTTGTGGGCAGAGTGCCAAAGAATAATTAGGAATAATTCCACATGATCTTGGTACAAAAAACATCCAGAAAATGAATGATTGCATTTAATATAAAAAGCCTTGACCTGAATTTAAATGAGAGAGAGGCAGAAGGCGAAGCCAGGCCTCCAGCCCAGATGAGACTTGCTGCAGTTCCAACCACTTTCCGGCTACATCCAGCTCAGTCCTACGAGCCCCCGCCAGTCATGTTAGAGGTAGATGCTGATGGCTTAAAGAGAGGTAGGTAAAGTCCAAATTTGTTTTCAATCCCTGCAAATGTTGCAACTGCCAGTTTATAGCCCCCTACATGGTCAGGATTGGGAGCAGGCAGAGTGATCCGTGATTTAGGAACTGGCTCGGATCCCACAGGCTTCCTATGAAAAGAGAAAACCGAATATCAACTGAGTTGTGATTTAAAAAGAAACAATAAATACCAGTAGAAACCAATAAAACCATGCAATAACTGAATTCTAGGCAACTGTGTACTCCCTTTGAAATGACCTTGTGGCCACTATCACAGGATCCTTGTATGCATTTCTCAATGAGAACTGAGTATCACAGGCTGTAAAAACTTAGCAGTCCCTTCACCACGACACTTACACTCCTCCAAAATCAATGTAGAACCATCGCTGCAGCAACTCATAAGTCAGCAAGGTGACACCAAACTGGGGTGAGGACCGGAAGACACGAGCTACAATCAAGATGGGAATAATAGATACCGTTAGATTTCTAAGGAATTTACCTGACACCAAAGGGTTAGTTAAGAACCAATTACTTCCATACCAGCAGCTCCTTTCCACAAAGCTTTGGGGCCTTCTTCCCGTAGTATCTTTCTGAAGCAGTCCGTCACGCCGCTGTAAGTGGTTTGGCCAGCCCGGGCAGCCACCTGTAATCTAGTCTTGATAACATCAGCAGGGGTCACTAAGGATGCTGCAGGCATTCCTGTAGCCGAGACACAACACCATCTCAGTCCACTCACATTCTCACTATATAAAAATAACTGTGCTTTGAAGTGCTGGCCGTGGAAAGAAAGTTAAGCAGCCAGAGCAATAAAATGCCCCTTTTGCTGTCCTCTGGAAAGCACACGACAGTCCTGCCTCCAAGGGTCCTCCCTCCCTCCAACCTTCATTTGTTGTTTCTATTCTTGAATACATAAATATTTTCAAGCAGTTATTTATCCGTAACACTGTTTCAAGTGGTTGAGAACAAACAGAGAAAGTGGTTTAAAAAAAAAAATTTTTTTTTTCTTTCCTGTTGAAATCAGAACCTCACGAAGTTATTAGGTCTGATTTTTCAGAGGCGAAGCTTATTATGTGTTTCCTCTTCATGGTTTCCTGGCTGCTGGCAGCCACGGGACTCTGCTTTCCCTCACACATCCAGCAACCCTGCACTCCCAAGGCTGGATGATGGCTAAGCAGACACCATGAGCCTGTGTGTCTCTCACCCACCTTCCCTTCTCTAGAAACTGATATAGCTAGAAAACTTTAACAGGAGGCTTAAGATTTATACTGGCTGGCAGTTGAGGAGAAAGGACAACGACAGTGAGGACGGCAACAGCAAAACAACCACAAACAACAATAACACATCCCTCCCCAAATTACCGACGGCAAATTTTTCTACAGTCGTTTTAATCCAAAAATGGGACAGCCTGTGTTCAGAGTTCTAAAATGGAGACCATTCAGAAGACACTGTCTCTTACGGTTTTATTACTTTTCCACTATGAACTTATTCCAAACCAAACTGGTCAGACGTGGATGCATAAATCTCCTCTGCTTTTTTTAAGGCTTAATAATTCTGTAAGAATTTCTGTCCAAACCAACATGGTCTGGCTTAGAACTCCATCTCATCCTTCAACGGACAGTTTGAAAGTCACAGTGCCAATGCGTGTGTGTGTGTGTGTGTGGTGGGGCGGGGCGGGGGGGGGGGGGTGTAACTGAACTACAGGCTCCCATTTTTACCAGAAGAGCAGTGTCTCTTCAACTTCCATCTCCACTCAACTCTGCTAACACTAATTCTTAGAAATAGTCATTACCGAACACTGCATTTTACATGTGAAAAAGCTCACTTTATATCTACTGTTTGTCTAAGAAGCAGCACTGGGTTCCTATTAGCATGGAGGAATTACTGTCATTTTGAGCCAGGAATTTATCCTCTGACATGACAAAAGGAAACACAAAAGATGCTTAGAAACCTATTGTGTTCACACGGCCCACTTTGCTTTACTTCCTGGTTTAGACAGAGTTTAGTGGGGAGTCTCCTCCAGACTTGAAATGAAATCCTCCTAACCACCCTGCAGGTATGATCATGTGACCCTGTGAAAGATACAGGGCCAATGGTGAAGGGAATGTCCTTTTCCATTAAGGTACTTTTCATAAGCATTTCCTGGAGAAGAGGAGAGTACCAAGAATAGATGCGATGAGAATAATAATAATGCCTGAATGAAAATGTTAAAAGAAACTCATAAACTACTTAATAAGATGTCTGACAAAGCAGACTAATGTGTGTGCAGAGTTGGGGTGGGGTGGGGTAGGGTAAGTAGGGGGTGGGGGGTGTTCTGGAAACCTTATAATCCAAACATAAGCCTAGCCACCTCCATCTGTAGGGCTCCTGCCCATAATGGATGACGTCTAGGGTCTAGGAGCCGCTACAAACATATTGTGTAGACTTCCTGGGGTTTGGGGAGGGGTTGGCAGTAAACCTGGAAAGCTGAGTGTGGCTACTCTAACAGTTGGCCAGGCCAGCCACAAGTCCTACAATGGACTTTGTCATTTGACAGCTACTGGTTTTCCAAGTCAGAGTGGGCAAACACTGAATCAGTTTTGCCATGTCATTGTCTGCTTTCAAAGGCCTGAAGCCACAATGATGAAATGGCTTGGGTGTGGAAGAAGAGGAGACCGGATAATAGGAAAGTGTCATCTCTGGCCTCAACAGGAAGTGTACAGGCGGCCTGCTTGATGCTCTATGGGTAACAATCACACATGCATAGCCCTGGGCCATCCACCACCTCCTCAACAGAAATGACACTGTGGGGTTTCAGGGGCCAGCAACTACAGAAGATCACTGATAGCGAGACGAAAACATGACTTGGTGAATCCACACAGCTTTGGGGGACAGACATTATTTTTTATAAATGTCACATTAGGATTAATAACTTTGTGTTTCTCCATTTAAGGCTTAACAGTTAATACACATTTCTCTTAGGTCAAGGCTAAGACTTTCTAATTACATTTCTTGGCTTTTATTGTATGATCAACCTACTAGGCTGGCTACTAACAGCAGTGTGATAAAGTTATTCATTAAGAAGGAGAAAAAGGGTTGGAGAGATGGCTCTGTGGTTAAGAGCACTGTCTGCTCTTTCAAAGGACCCAGGTTCAATTCCCAGCAACCACATGGCAGCTCACAACTGTCTGTAACTCCAGTTTTGCCAATTCTGACACCTTCATACCAATGCACAGAGAATAAAATTAAATAAATTATTAAAAAAAGAAAAAAAGAAAAAAGAAAAAGAAGGAGGAGAAAAATCAGCCAGGAGGAAGTGGCAAACTCCTTAAATCCCAGCACTAAGGAGGTAGAGGCAGGCAAATCTCTGAGTTTGGGGCCAGCATGGTCTGCAAAGTGAGTTCCAGGACAGCCAGGGCTATAGAGAGAAACCCTGCCTCGAAAAATCAAAGATGGGGGAGGGGAGGGTGAGAAAGAGAGGGGGAAAGGGGGGAGGGAGAGAGAAAGAGAGAGAGAGAAAGAGAAAGAGAGAGAGAGAGAGAGAAAGAGAGAGAGAGAGAGAGAGATCTCATGCTGTTTATACTTCAAAACAGAGATTGGGTAAGGCAGGCTGCATTCAGGGGCTGGCTGATACTGTCAAACTGAAGACGACTGACTAGATTTTCTTTTAAAGCTGAACTGAAAGTGCCGATTTTCCCTTAGGACACTGGATTCATTTCGGTTGATGGTTGCTACTGGCCTCACTGCTCCTGACCTGTGTATGTATCTCCTCCACTTCCAGTTGCTTCCCGTTTGATCTCCATATACTTAACTGTGACAAAGCGACATAAACATCTGCCACATGGGTGTGACTCTAATGCTTACAACCCTCCAGCAAAGGGAGGATTGGAGTCTGCTTTCATTCTGGCCTGTTCTTTCCTTCCCGTGTCTCCCAACAGCTCCTCTTGCATAATAAATACAAACTCCAGAGTCAGCAACAATTTTGAGTGATTCACAGCTTTAACTTTTCTCTGTCAGTGCTGCTTCAAGTACTTCACATTATCCTTCTTAAATTCACTCTTCGCTTGTCTGCAGAGATGGGAAACTTGCAAGCAGAGTAGACAGGGGCTATTCCGTGTCCCTCCTGGATGCTACTAAGCCTGGTAATGTCACTGGTTTCAGACCCCATCTCCTGGGCAACTGGAAGGAATTGTGTTGTGGATAAGAAACCCCTGTTCTGTTACTCCCTTGTTTTCTGTCCTCTCCTAATTCTGATATATTTTAAACAGATAGAAGACCTATATGCCTCTTCAATGTTCTTGTATTTTATCTCTGTATTTTTGTGACACATTCTAGAGGGTCATCCTTACCGTGTCTAACCTTTCCCCCTTTTTCCTTATTCTTTTCTTAAGCCAGGTCCTTACTTTACTTTAGACCCAGGCTGTCCTCAAACTCTTAATTCTCCTGGCCTCCTCAGTGTTGGGATTATACGAAAGCACCATTAAATGCGGCTTAGTTGGGTTTTCTTTGGTCATATCTGTTTTATCACTCAGAACCATACAGATCTTTAATTTCAACAATCATTTCATTAACTAAAAAACAAAACAAAACAAAACTAACCCAAAAACACTCATGGCCAAGTTGGGCTACAAAGGCTAGCCTTTAGCCTTGGTCATCCTAATGAGAATCTGTCCTAAGATAGCCAACCAAACATTCAGTGCATGGGACCATTGGATCCATGCTCAACACCTCAACTAAAACATAAAATCAGGCAGAAATGCTATAGAACTTTCCCACATTCACAAGTCAATTTCCCGACTTTCACCTTGTACGATAGTTATGAAAAATACAACATTCCTCGGAGTAGGTGAATGATTACTATACTGTTTTTACAACTTCCTGTATACTTACTTTTACTTTAGAATAAAGAGGAAGACAAAAAGAATGCCCTTCCCAGCTTCCTAATTACTGCTCTGCCAAGTTCCCCTCTGTTCCCTATATCGCCGTTTTTCTCTGTAATTTTTCTCTTCACTTTCCCTGCTGTCCCTTCCTGTCTGAGGATGGCTGGCTGTCCACTGACACACGGTATCACATTCAAGGCTGCACAATCACTGCACTCGGCTCTGCGTGGCCTCTGCCAAACTCTAGACCTGCTTTGCCTCCAGTCTCCTTTTGGGATGGGAGGGTCCTCTATGCTGAAGGGGCTGTGGAAGGTCACAGGGCCAAGACATTCCCAAATGCTAACATGTAGAAAGCTAAACTGTGCAGCGAGAATAATTTATTGTCTCCTCCGTTGGGAAAAAGCCATTAATTTATGTTTTGCTGCACCTGTGGTTAAGGTCTGACAGGAGCTTAAGCCTGCCCTGCTTTCCATCAGTTCTACACATGCTGTTTCCAGGCCAATGGTCCACTCTCTACATTAGGATTCTGAGATTTTTAACGCGTAGACAGACAATGCTTAAAGCTCTCGGTGGCACGGGAAGGGGCGAGGCAGGCCGCACTTCTGGAAATGCAGCTCTCTAACTTACTTCTTTTAGAATCCCTCAGAGATTCTTCGGTTTACTCAGAGGTCGAGAGTCCCCACTTCAGCTTTTACGTTATCAATAGTTTTTCCCGCCAGGGCTCTGCCCTGCAGCATCACTGATTTCAGACTCGGAGTGCTTGCTTTATGAATACTGAGTGTGGGTGCTGCCGGTTTTAATGTGTGTTTTCTAGGAGTTTAAGACATTCTGGAAGAAAGCTGG